AACAAATGAGGATTTGCGTGTTACTCAGCAATCACCATCATAATTTCAACGACAAATTCCTGAGTCATAGTACCCTGCACTGATATTTATGCAACAGAAAATTCAACAAACGAAACACTCAAAACAATACAAAGGAGAAAAAGATCTTTGCCCAGCTGTGGTGGGATGATAAAAATAATAACATTTTGATGACCCTAACCTCTCTATGCAGAAGTTAACAGAAAACATTCTCTTGTGGTCTGGATAAATGTGACAGACCACTTGGAAACAAACCAAAATTTATGTTTGACTATATTTACAGATTTGTTTAAAACAAGATCTATGAGCGATAAGGAAATCATTGGAGGAACACTACCAAAGTAGATTTGGTAATCAGACAAAGACACATTCCAAGAACAAGTATGTAGTTTTAGTAAACTGGAAATTCACTCGACAAGAAAGAAAACCGAAAGAGGGGAAAATTTCGACAATTGGAGTGGAAGGATTAGAAATTCCTTTGTGAAATAACTTACCTAATAGAGTGTGTGTTAAAGCAGACATCTGTGTTCAAAACACAATTTCAACCACTCCTTGCACGCGCGCCCTATGAAATGATGAACAAGCTTTCATCCAGTCGTTAGAGCTCAGTAATACGATGATTGGGACGACTCCTGTTCAACTTTAAACAACAAATTCCTCATTTATTCCTGGCTGTTTACACTTCGTGACAACAGAATCGCCATGTTGTTCTCAACGAAGACCCTGTGGTTCGTGACGTCACATTCCCCTTTGGCCGTCAAACATGGCATACTGCTTGGCCAGCGTTGAGGTTGTGAATTCATTTTTGTTTGAAAACGATATATGCTTTACACCTGCTTGTCTTTGGACTGGACGTTATATTCCAATTGTTCCAAATGTTACCATTCCCTGAAAAAAAAAAATGGATTTTGGAAGGTGAAAGGCAAGATAGTGAAAGGTAAAATAATTCCTGATCGCTGTGTGCCCCACCCCCGGCTGCAAGCACCGACACACCGACACCGACCGACCGAGACCGGACCGAAGTGACACTCAACAAATCTAACGATCTGCCGTCACTGTGTATCCTCATTTGTGATCATTTGTGATCAGAAGAAGGCTGCTTGTCAAATTGGACTTCTGATCCGTGGTAGGTAGTGATCATCGACATTTTCAAATCATCACAAGTTCACCCCGTTTTTGTTTGCTTGTACCTTGCTCCTCGTCATGTCATGTACCTTTGGACTTTCAACTTATCTGCTGTCAAGAACTGTTTTCCCCGGCTATACCGGCGTAAGCTGCACACCCTCACAGTGTCTTGTCTTGTCATCCTGACTGATAGACTTTTCTTCCAGCACCATGGCAGCTGTCAGCCAAGTTTTGAAAAGATCCTTTAGCTCCTCCAGTCCCATGGCCGGTGCCATTAAAAATGTGACAGTTATTGGTGGAGGTTTGATGGGTTCTGGCATTGCCCAGGTAAGTTTGAAAGGGCATATGGTTTCCGTATGTACTCTCCTTTGAACTTGTTCGATTATCAAGACTCGTTCCTTTCTTCTATCAGATTGCTGCTGCGGCTGGCCAGAAGGTTGTCTTGGTGGAGACCAATGAGAAACTCTTGCAAGGGGCCAACTCTCGAATCAATGAGAGCCTCAAGCGTGTGGCGAAAAAGCAGTTCAAGGTACAGGAAGTTGGTCGACCTTTATTAAAACTGTGTTTTTTTCGGGATGAATGACTTGGTGATTATTACTTCTCCCATGACTCATTGTCTGTTCCATAGGAGAATCCCTCTGCAGGGGAGAGCTTTGTCCAAGAGACCATGGGCCGTATTTCAGGAACCACTAATCCGTCTGAAGGAGCTGCAAGCGCTGACTTGATTGTTGAAGCGATAGTCGAAAACATGGGTATCAAACAAAAGCTCTTTGCTACTTTGGATGAGGTGAGATTTGTCTTTGCTTGTGCTGTGTCCATCTTGATAGAAAAAATCTTACCTGTTTTTCCCTATTTTTCTTTTTTCAGGCAGCTCCCAAACACACTATTTTTGCATCTAATACTTCATCTCTATCCATCACTGAAATAGCTTCTCAGTGTCAGAGGAAGGACAAATTTGGTGGTTTACATTTCTTCAACCCTGTTCCCGTCATGAAGCTTCTGGAGGTATATTATCTAAATCTGTCAGGTAAAAGATATAAAATCATTGCCTCATACTTGATTTGCGTTGGTCTTTAGGTGGTCCGTACGAATGATACTTCAGATGAAACATACAAGAAAATGATGGAATGGGGTCAAGAAGTTGGCAAGACCTGTATTACTTGCAAGGATACCCCTGGGTTTGTTGTGAACCGACTCCTTGTTCCACAACTTGCTGAAGCAATTCGCATGCTTGAAAGAGGTAACATGTTCTCAAGGAAATGAAACTCAACCTAACATTTCACTACAATTTTGGTAGTACATCATCAAATTTTTATTTGTCAACAGGTGACGCCAGCCCCAGGGACATTGACACTGCCATGAAACTGGGAGCAGGACATCCTATGGGTCCTTTTGAACTCGCTGACTATGTTGGTCATGACACTACCAAGTTCATTATTGATGGTGTGTACGGTACTCTTCAATGTTAATGTCAGTATGAATGTTACTTTGAGATTATTTAACTTCGATTTTTTACTGCTGCAGGTTGGCACGAGAAGATGCCTGAGAACCCTCTTTTTAAGCCATCAGAATTGTTGAACAAGATGGTTAAGGAAGGCAAGCTTGGTGTCAAATCTGGAGAAGGATTTTATTCCTACAAAAAGAAGTGATTGACCTCTCAGGTCTTCCTTCCTATGCAACTTTTGTACTGAAACTTAGTAAGCAAACAATTTTTGAGAGGCTCATAGTAAAGATGTTTGCCATATTTTTATGGTTTGTAAGCAAACAATTTTTGAGAGGCTAATAGTAAAGATATTTGCCATATTTTTTATTGTGATACTGTTGCCAGTTTTCAGAATTTTTATCTTTTTTATTATCAAATTTGGCTATGATTATACCTTGAAGTATTTTTTCTATTTTGTCTTTTAACTGCTCGTATTGTGTTTCTGTGTTCTTGCTCAATAAATTTTTACTGATAATTTCATTTGTTATTCATTCACTAATTTTAGATGGTCTCATCCGTGGGTGGTTTCAAGTGATGTTAATTGACACACTTCATTTTTATTTTATTTTGTCATTCCCAAATTAGTTCTTTATTCCATTTTGGGATTTACAAGCTAGTGCGCCATCTTAAAGTAGTGGTGTATCTGTGTTAAAATTTGAGTGATGATTTGTGACCCGTGCATTCCATGTCTGGGTTATTCTGCAGTCCAGTGACGCATACGGGGGGAATGGCGCCGCGCTTGTAGCCCACCGCACGGGCGGGCGCTTTCATTCGGAGTCCGACGGGAAGGTGTCAATGGCGAGGGAGACACCTGGACTTACCAGTGCGATGAGAGGGTGCAGGTTAGAGTTAAGGTTGTAGGATGGTGAGCCGTTGACGGGCACTGTGTGTGTGTGTATGTGCTCTGCAACTTGCTCATCAGATTTCCCAACGGATGCTGTAGGAGGCGGAGCTGGGCGAGCTGGGCTGTATCGCAAGAGCCGCTCGCCTCGCCCCGCGCCGCCGGCCGGCAGCGGCGCGTGGGCGGAGTACGGGAAGGAGAGCAGGAGGGCCCGGGCGAGCTACACCTGGTTGTCGGCGTCCTGACCCGGTCTGGCCTGCCCCCGCGTGGGCGGCATGAGGGCGGGCGAGGGCGGCTCGTCCGGGATGGGGTTGGGGCCGGGCCCGAGGTCCGTGACCTGGCCCTGCAGCTCCAGGAAGCTCTTGCGGATGCTGTCCAGGGCGGACGCGAGCCCGGACTTGATCTGGTTGAACTCCTGTGTGACGAGCGACAGCCGGCCGAGCAGGTAGTTGAGGTTCTCGTCGACCTCCCCCATGCGGCCTGTGATCTGGCCCACCTTGCCCTCCATGCCGTCCATGGTCTGCAGGCTGCCGTTGACGTAGATCTCGGTTTGCTGCTGCAGCCGGTCCAGCATGCTCTTGGAGGCTGTGAGCTGCTCGTACATGATGCCGATCTGGCGCCACACCTGCGAGATCTCCGTCTCGATCTTGGTGCTGAGGTTGCCCAGGTTCTCCGTCTGGTGCGAGAGGATGTCGCCGGAGATGGCATCGAAGCGAACGTTGAGCGTCTCGTTGAGGTCCTTGGACTGGACAGGAGGAAACGCATTAGAGGCTGGCCACACCCTCGTAACCTCCTCGTCCACACCACGCCGTCGTCTCCACTCACCTGCTGCTTGATGAGGGTGCCGACCTCGAGCAGGATCTGGTGCACGCCGTACTCGACGCGGCGCTTGGCGTCGATCACGTTGTCGCCCGTCTGCACCAGCACCCTCTCCACGCCGGCCAGCGCGCTCAGCTCCTTGCTCAGGGCCTCGTACGACTTGGCGACGTCGGCCACCAGCCCTGCGGACACACGAAGTTAGGGTTGGAAATTTCCGAAAAAATCCCGAAAATTTAGGAAAATTTCAGGGGTCTGGGAAATTTTTCATAAAAAAAATTAATTTCCGGACGTTGCTTGAGCACCTGTGTTGCTGGCGCTCATGAGCGCGCTCACGGCCTCGAGGAGCTCCTCGCGGGTCTCCTGCGCGACGACCTTGAGCTCGGCCGCCCGTCGCTGGTCCTGCTGCTCGAGGCGCTGCATGAGCTGGTCCGTGACGGCGGCCGCCACCGCCTCGCCGCCGCCACCCGCCGCGCGCTGCTCCAGCTTGGCCACCAGGTCCGCGACCAGGAACTGCGCCACCCTGGGCGCGACGTCCTCGAGCACCCGCTGCGCCACGCGCAGCGTCTCGTTCTGCTGCCGGTGGAGCGCGGTCTCTACGGCGTCCCGGGCCGCCTGCGGGTCAGAACAGGGGTTTAGCGGACGCCTGATAAAGGCACTATCTCAAACTTTTCAGTAGTGCAGAGCTGCGAAAGGCTATATTTGGTGCTTTTCAGTTGGGGGCCATACGTCCCCTAGCAGGTCAGTTCGGAGATGGCGCGGCGGACGCCGCCGCCGCCAAAGACGTCAGGGACGCGCTGCACTCTGCGCCCACCCTCTCCCCTCCTTCCTCGCCCCCACCCCTCGCTCCT